CATTAGTCAGGCTACCAGCTAGCCTGAAAAGGCATCAGGGAAGTGTTTATACTATGCCATAAATAGGGGTGTGTGCGGCTAGTCGACTAGCTGAAAAATTGTTGCTATTTTCACTATTTGATACAGACTTACTAGTTATTTAATCCAGTTATTAATTTTTTAATTAGTGCCCAATACTGCTAAATTGTTAACTCCTAAATATTATGGAGCCATCTGCCACCAGACTGCGCATCATCGCAATCCTAATCTAGGCATCATCTTTCCACGGACACAAGTAGAAATAAGCTTTCTCTGAAAGGTGGATGCCTTAGCTGAGAGGCTGAGAGGTTCAGTCATTCACAAGGGGTTTAAATTAGAGCTCCACATTGAAAAATAACAACTAAGGCTTTTGCCTCCTGGCTAAGGTGGGCGGGCTTGTCCTACTGGGAGGAAGCCCGGGCATAGAACCTGGACATGCTGGAGAGTTTAGATCTATCCGACGGCCTGGGAAAGGCTCAGTGTTTCCCCAGATCAGCTGGAGGATGTGGCAACAGGGAGGTTTGGGCTTCTCTGCTGCTGCCCCTGGATAATTTATTTTTTTGCTGTTTTAGATTTTAACTTTTATTGGAGTGGCTGTCATGCGTTTTCGAACAGCATCATTCATAGTGCACGGAAAAACGCGCCACATTCCTCGATCGCAGTTTTAGTTTTTCGGATGTTGATATGTCATATTTTAGTAATACGTGAAAATCTTTTTTAGACACATGGTTTCATATCATATTTAACATTGGTTTGTCTGCAGTATAGGGGGTAATCTCCATAATGCATGATTCGTGGTGCTGCACAGTTAAGAGGCATAATTCATTAGTGAAGAATTTGATAAATGGTTTAAAATATCTTTGTTTTTAGTTTCTGACATTTTACATTAAACAGTTTTCAAATTTGCTATCTTAGTTTCTACGACTCAGTCTGACTAAGTTTTCTAAAAACGTAGTTACCAGGAACATCCCTAGTTATAAACTTAAGTCTTTTTTGCAACCAGAGGAGTCCCCTACTGCTGACCTTGGAAGAGAATGCAGGATTCCGACAATTACAACTTTGTCTTCTCTTTTCAGATTCATATGCTGAAAGATGACTCATGTATCATTTATATACAGTCTGTGTGTGTGTGTGTGTGTGTGTGTGTGTGTGTGTGTGTGTGTGTGTGTGTGTGTGTGTGTGTGTGTGTGGTGGAGGTGGGAAATTTTTGATTCACTATCCAAGGAGACTCTAATATTTAACTTTATAACATCTTTCAAAGAGTTGATGTAGTTCTTGCCTGTCTGTGATCACCTCTTAAACACACCTCACTCAGAAAAAAAGATAGACATTTAAATTTTTGCATCAACCCAAAACCGGAACCAAATTTGACCAGCTAATAGCAGAGCCAGAAAAAAAAGCCAGACCAGCCCAAACCTGTACAAACAAGCCAGTGCCCATAAGCAGCAGCGGGCATATTCAGAGCAGCTCAGGCCATGTGGCAACTGTTCTGCTTTACTGTAATCTGTCTTTATGCCAGTCCTGCCAACCAAGGTCCCCTCCATCCACATACCCCTCTTACCAGAAGGGCCAGCAAATAGGACTGGCAAGGATTAACATAATAAGACCTACACACACACACACACACACACACACACACACACACACACACACACACACACACACACACACACACACACACACACACACACTCATGCGCTTAATGATGCTTGCACCAATACACCAGGAATTCATACATGGCTGTTTTCACAGGCTCACTCATGATCAAACACAAACAGCCGCCCACACAATCTCACACACTGTTTTGCAACATCGGGCACCCAAGGAATTAGAGGATACAGTTTGAAGGTTGGAGGCCTTATGGTCTAAATATAAACATCTCTCTCCTCAGCATTGTTATGTAAGTTATCAGGACGCAGTGGAACGACACGCTCAGGATAAATGCGCGAAAAATGCAATAAAGGCATAAAAAGATGTTTTCTTTGTAAATTCTTTGGTTTTCTACTTTTAAAAGTAGCAGACCTGGCTCGTGGATGTCAAATCCTCTGCATGCTAAAAACACATGATTGTAATGACACCTACTTCTTACAAGCTTGGATATGCAGATTTGTTATGTGCAGAAGCTAAAGACCCTCAACACACATTTTTGAACTGATTCCCAGTTCAAAAATAATTCTTATTTACCTTCCACTGTCTGAAATGAGCTTGAGTTCAGCTTCTTTTACTGTTTATTCAGGTCAGCATTCTTCTGATTGGCTCTCCTTGAAAATCAAAAGGTTTGAGCAGCAGTTGGGTGGAGCTTCTGCGCTCACAACCATAGCAGGGACTCTGAGCTGACCAAATTAGGGAAATCTAGGGTCAAAAGAATACGGAAGTTAAACACACACACACACACACACACACACACACACACACACACACACACACACACACACACACACACAGTGGGAATAATCATTGCAAAAGCTTACAGGAAAAGAATAAAACAAAAAAATTTAATTAATTAAAACACACAGGACCTGCATCTTTTTCTGCCTCACAACAGTGAAGATTTCTTGTGTTTTATCCACCTTCCATTGTAATGTGTGTGCTTTTGGAGCGTTTGCACAGCATTTGACCTTAGAGGGCCACCATAGAAATCCACTGTCTTTGACATCATAGAGTGAGAAGTAGAAAACTGTCTTCAAAGGAGTATCTGGAGAGGTCAAAGGATGACCTTTTGGCTACTTGACAACACTCTGACCTAAATGTTTGAAACTTGGCCATGTTTAAAATGAGTATCCACCATACTAGCATAAAAATATATATATCATATAATACTGCTTACAGTTTTTTCTGATTGCTTAAGCACATTTTTTGTAACTATTGGCTAATTTTGCAAAACTCTTCACACAAATAAGAAAACCTGTCACCCAATCATCAAAACATTGTAGTTCTCTTGCAAAAGCAAACACAGCTAGATTAACTCTTCACACCTTCGTAAAAATGGTGTTTCCGTATCAAACAGTACACACAAGCCATCATCTACTAAGCACACAATGCGCCAACTGCACACTGATGGTATGAATACAAAACACATCTGGCTTTTGCTTTCTCTGTGCACAAGGTAGGCTATGTCAGTTTGAGCTCATACTTCTGTCATAGATCCATAAGCATAGAGGGATCCAAACTTCAAGTACTGGTGTTTATTCAAACACATCAAAACAAACACAAGTGTTTATTTCCAAGTATAGGATTATTTGCAACCGCCATAATGACTATATGGGTTACTTGGTCTGCAGTGAACATGCTTCCTCTGCCCCCAGCATCTGGTCATCTAGCAATTCTGTAAAGTAACAATTTCAGTATTTTTACATCAATGGTATTGGTGTGTTTCTCATTGGCATATGGCAGTGCTACAAATCTTAGTGCGAAGTGACTGTACTAACCGATTCTCATTTCAAGATGTCCTTATGGTACTTGCTACAGTGTAGCGGCTCGAGTTAGGCTGGACCCGTTGGCCAGCTACCCTCAGGGTCATTCCACGGTTGATTACATGGTCCACTATTGTAGCTCTGATGTCATCAGCAATTCTATTTCTTACTCTTCCTACCCTTCCTCTCCCCCCTCCTCATCTTCCTCTTGCTCCTCCTTGTCCTTGTCGTCCTCTTCATCCTACTTCTTCACCTCCACGTCCTCTTCCTCGGCCTCCTCTACTTCTCACTCTTTCTGCTCCCTCCATTGTACTCCGCACACACAGCTTACCTGTATTATAGTGCTTAGGCTGATTGCAAAGTGAACTAATTATCTAAAAAAGTTTTCACATGTGAAAGTGTGCCAGACAGTTGGCAAATTAGTGTTAATGATAGCCATACATGTGTATACTTTTGCTAGGAGTGTGTTGGAAATTTGGTAATTGAGTGTTGTGCAGTGAATTGTGCCTACAGTTTTGCAAAGTGTGTGTTACAAAATTGCAAACTGAGTGCAAAGCAGTTTTTGTGCTTTTAGTTTTGCAAACTCAGTGAGTGGTTTTGCTATAAGTCTGAATAGTTTTAGAGATTGTGCTACAGGAATCACAGTTAGGGTTTAAGCATTCAGAAAAAACTGTAATATGTTTTTCTCCACATACATGAAAACAGGAGCAGTCTACAGGATTTCTTCATGTCTTTAAACCTTAAACAAATAGATGGGCTCACAAGGATGCCGCCAGTCCCTCACCTCTCCTGCTTCCTTCTCACGCACGCTCACATACACACACTTAGCGGTGAAATGCCCTTGGGTTTGCTTTGTCATTATCAAGTGACAAATGACCTTGTGAGCGACGGCTGCATTAAAATGGAATGTGTTTTTCAAAGCTGGAGGGAACAGACCTTGTAAGTATCAGTCAAAGATGTGGAAGTCTAGGGGGAAAGTGAAGCACGCTCGGTACTACTGGCATTTAAGTAGTATTTTTGTAGTGCAGTAGGTCAGATCAGTTGTTTGTTTCTTATTTTTTCAAAGACTAATTCATTCCTCCAGAAAAAAAAGTTATCATTTGAAGCACTAGAAGCATTTAAAACATTAATGCAACAGCTATTTTCTCTGGTCTCGTCTACATCGGTTGTGTCTAAATTACAGTTTTTCTCGATTGCTAAAACACATTTCCTGAAACTACGCCTCATATCCTCACAACAGTAAACACAAATCCATAACATCTCACTCAATTTCCCAAACATCCTATTTCCAGGTCAAAATGAAGCTCTACACCCAAAACTATTCACTCCTGCTGAAAAACCAAACTTTGCCCACAGACATCAAACACAAGCCCTCAAAAACACACACACTACAACAGTTTTGCACACTGGTACAATTAATTCAAAACAATAGTTCCAAAACAAATAGGTTGCTTATGGTTCTCCCCTTCAAAACCCTTGTCACATGATAAACACAAAAGACGCAACCAATGTATGTACAGTGGCACATTGTCATTCATGTACTATACAGTACAACACACACCAGAAACATTATCCCACCTCAGCATCTTGTCTTTGGTCTGGGTCAGGCCAGAGAATCTCATCCACATCACAGGCTATATTGGCCCCAGCCAGGCAGCGGGGGTAAAATCCTCTTGCATGCCTGATCCACCCCTGGCATGCATCTACTGATATGTCTAGGCAGGCCTCTTCCATGGCCTGAAGGAGGTGAACATGGACATAAGGTTCTCGGTCATACACTTTCCACCGCCATGCCGAAAATAACTCCTCTATCGGGTTTAGAAAGGGAGAGTATGCAGGCAGAAAGATATTAGAAAACCTTGGGTTATTGGTAAACCAATCACGAACCAGAGCAGCGCGATGGAAGCTGACGTTATCCCACACAACAACGTAGTGAGGCTGCTCTGGCTGTGCTGGTTCCCTGTAGTCCAGCTGGAACATATGTTGTCTTAAACCATCAAGAAAAGCAAGGAGAAGCATAGTGTTATAGGGTCCTAGTACGCCATGGCGGTGGAGTACCCCTCGTTGGCTGATGGCTGCGCACATAGTGACATTCCCCCCACGCTGACCAGGGACATTTACAATAGCCCGATGGCCAATTATGTTCCTCCCCCTTTTCCTTCTTTTGGTCAGGTTAAAACCTGCCTCATCCACAAAGATTATTTCATGGGGAACAGGCCGTCCTTCAATCTCAAAGATTCTCTGCAAAACACATAACACAGTAGAGCCAATCGGTACCCTGAACCACAGTTCAAGAGTGCTGAAATGGCAGCATAAACTGCCATGCTGTGATGGTACACAATACTTTATACAGTATCAAAACTCATTCCTGAACATATTCCACACGTTGGTTTTTCACTCTGTCAGAGTTTCGTTCGAAAGGGACTCGGTATGCCTGTTTCATCCGGAATTGATTCTTTCGGAGGATGCGGTCAATTGTGGAGAGGCTGATGGCATTTATGCCTCGAAAAAGATGATCATCCTCAATCACTCTCCTTTGAATCTCTTGCAGGCGGATTACATTATTTGCAATTACCATGTTTACAAGTTCCCTCTCTTGCTCCTCCGACAAAAGCCTTAACCTGCCTCCACCAGGTGGTCGTCTCTGTGTCCTACAAAAATAGAAGCACTCATTACTGTAACTGTCACACAGTCATTTTACAGGCAAATAATGGAAACATACTGAAACTCAAGACACATAAGTTCAGTAACTTAAACGTTACTGTACAAAGCAGTCTTACTGCAAGTACACCTACCTGTTTTCCTCCCTGAAGGTTCTGATGATGGAGGCAACAGTGAAGCGACTCAAATTTGGTTGTACTCGTTGCCCAGCCTCCCTCATAGTCATCCCATGGACAAGGACATGGTCAACTAAAGTGGCTCGAATTTCATCCGAGACTGACTGTCTTCTTGCCCTTGCTCTTCCCCTTCCTTGTCGCCGTCGTTCTCCACCTCCTTCACCACGTCCTCTGTCTCCACCACGTCCTCTTCCTTTGCATCTCTTTGGATCCATTGTTTCAAACCTGAATGAGCTGACTTTGGCCCTTTTATCTATCTATCGCAGGTTCTGATTGGTGTGTGCTAAATTTTGACTCCTAGTGTTTCCACCTGGTTAATTGTGTGCTAATTGAGCTCAAGCTATGCTGACTTACAGTTTTTTCTGAATGCTTAAACCCTAACTGTGATTCCTGTAGCACAATCTCTAAAACTATTCAGACTTATAGCAAAACCACTCACTGAGTTTGCAAAACTAAAAGCACAAAAACTGCTTTGCACTCAGTTTGCAATTTTGTAACACACACTTTGCAAAACTGTAGGCACAATTCACTGCACAACACTCAATTACCAAATTTCCAACACACTCCTAGCAAAAGTATACACATGTATGGCTATCATTAACACTAATTTGCCAACTGTCTGGCACACTTTCACATGTGAAAACTTTTTTAGTAATTAGTTCACTTTGCAATCAGCCTAAGCACTATAATACAGGTAAGCTGTGTGTGCGGAGTACAATGGAGGGAGCAGAAAGAGTGAGAAGTAGAGGAGGCCGAGGAAGAGGAGGTGGAGGTGAAGAAGTAGGATGAAGAGGACGACAAGGACAAGGAGGAGCAAGAGGAAGACGAGAAGGGGGGAGAGGAAGGGTAGGAAGAGTAAGAAGTAGAATTGCTGATGACATCAGAGCTACAATAGTGGACCATGTAATCAACCGTGGAATGACCCTGAGGGTAGCTGGCCAACGGGTCCAGCCTAACTCGAGCCGCTACACTGTAGCAAGTACCATAAGGACATCTTGAAATGAGAATCGGTTAGCACAGTCACTTCGCACAAAGATTTGTAGCACTGCCATATGCCAATGAGAAACACACCAATACCATTGATGTAAAAATACTGAAATTGTTACTTTACAGAATTGCTAGATGACCAGATGCTGGGGGCAGAGGAAGCATGTTCACTGCAGACCAAGTAACCCATATAGTCATTATGGCGATTGCAAATTATCCTGTACTTGGAAATAAACACTTGTGTTTGTTTTGATGTGTTTGAATAAACACCAGTACTTGAAGTTTGGATCCCTCTATGCTTATGGATCTATGACAGAAGTATGAGCTCAAACTGACATAGCCTACCTTGTGCACAGAGAAAGCAAAAGCCAGATGTGTTTTGTATTCATACCATCAGTGTGCAGTTGGCGCATTGTGTGCTTAGTAGATGATGGCTTGTGTGTACTGTTTGATACGGAAACACCATTTTTACGAAGGTGTGAAGAGTTAATCTAGCTGTGGTTTGCTTTGCAAGAGAACTACAATGTTTTGATGATGGGTGACAGGTTTTCTTATTTGTGTGAAGAGTTTTGCAAAATTAGCCAATAGTTACAAAAAATGTGCTTACGCAATCAGAAAAAACTGTAAGTTAACATTATTGCATGCTAGTGCTTTCTAAATGACTACATGGTGTAAGCACTGTAAAATGTAGGGATTTGTGTGTAGAGTTTTGCAGTAGCAGTTCACCAAATTTGAGTCATGTGTCAAAGCAGGGAATAGTGTTTATAGTTCAGGGAAATGGGTGAGCTTTTTGAACAGCAGCGTTACGGTTTTGAAATTTTAGTTTAGAGGCCTGGTTATAGTGTTTAAGCAATCGAGAAAAACTGTAATGCACTCATTTCCATCACCCTACTCCCTATAAGTGACTTTCTATGTACAGGAGTCTATAGGGAGCTCATCTGCAACACTTTCAGAAACTATCATTTCCTCATTGCTGTTATTTAGGTCACTGCTGTCACACAATAAAAAACAAAACAAAACAGCATCAGTATGGTTTTAGCTTTTTTTGCTGTGTAAGTTAACACAGGACCAAGATCACAATGAAATGTGTTTGATGAGATGTAAGACAACTCACTCAGCATCTGAAAAATCAAATCAGATCAGATCAGATCAATAACTGCTGATTAAATAAACAGAGATGTGCATTTTTAAAGGACAAAGGATCCAAGCTAGTAAAGGCAGGCAACTTACAGTTTTTGCTCGTTGCTTGAACACTATAAACCCATGCTTAGACTAAAGTAACACAACTTGAAGCTTTTGTTACCATACCCCAAACACATGTACCCATACCTTAAACAAAAGTGCTGCTTTGCACTCTGGTTGCAATTATGCAACACACTTACTCCTTTATGCAACACACATGGTCCTGCATACTACACTCTATTTCATACATAAGACACTTCGTTCAAAAATGAAATTTCAGGGTGCCATTTGGAAAACACATGTATCCAAAATACAAAACACATCGGGTAATTGCAACCACTCAAATATACACCTGAAGGCACTTACTTGCAAAACTGAACACCAATTAGCCAACCGCAAAAAGCCCTCAGTTTAGCCATTTCAAGAACTTTGCAAGCATGGATGGAGGTCAAAGAGGCCATGCACGGACCTATATTTCTGATGATATAAGAGCAACTTTGGTGGACCATGTCATCAACCATGGCCTGACTATGAGGGAAGCTGGGCAGAGAGTCCACCCACATCTAAGCCGCTTCACAGTGGCATCTGTAATAAGAAAATTCAGACTAGAAAACAGGTCTGTCTTCATCTCACTGCCTTCTACTCTACTCAGATGGTTTTTATAGTACTGTTCTACAGTTACCATATCAAGTGTGCAGGGTACTGCAGGGTGCTAATGCTCCTTTTGCAGCCAAAGTGGTAGTTTCTGTGAAACATACCATGATTACTTATATTGAAGTACAGTGTTGTACAGTGGATGATACAGTATATACAGTAAAGTACTGTAAGAAAAATAAGCAAACCGATGACAATATGTGGTTGTATTTCTCTAGAATGACTCGAAGACCTTCTGGGGGAGGACGCCAACGCCGTTGTGGACCTAGTGAGGGCAGACAATGCTATGCGTCTCCACCAGCTACGAAAGCAAATACTTGCAGACAGGCAAGTGTTCAACAACATAAACCATGTGAGCATCACCACCATCAGACGCATCTTGGGAAAACACAGCATCACCATGAAGCAGCTCTACAGAGTCCCATTTGAGAGGAACAGTGACAGGGTCAAAGGACTTCGAGCTGAATATGTACCATATCAGTACCACATGAATACATTCTGAGAGCTACACAGGTACCTGTGTGATGGGTGAGGGTTCTGTATGTGTAGCACTGTAGTACAGTAATATGTTCTCTTTTTTCTTTTTCTTTTTTTACAGAGAATCTTGGCCATGGATGGAGCTGCACAGCCTCATGAATTCATTTTCATTGATGAAGCTGGATTCGACCTGTGCAAAACAAGACGACGGGGTCGTAATGTAATTGGCCAAAGGGCAATTGTGCACGTTCCAGGGCAGCGCGGGGGAAATATCACATTGTGTGCCGCCATAAGCCTTCGAGGGCTTCTGCATCATCATGCAAAACTAGGTCCATACAATAGCCAACATATACTCACATTTCTAGATCTCCATGATATAGTTGTACAGAACAGACCAGATCAGCCCAGGTTTGTGGTGATATGGGATAATCACCATCGGGCTGCTCTGGTCCAGGCCTGGTTCTCCAACCACAGTCAACTTGAATTGGTATGCTTGCCCCCTTACTCACCATTTTTAAACCCTATAGAGGAATTTTTTTAGGCTTGGAGATGGCGTGTATATGACCGCCAACTACATGCCTGCATGCCTCTTCTGCAGGCAATGGAACAGGCCTGCGGCGACATTCAGGTGACAGCAATCCATGGATGGTTTTGACATGGAAGAGGATATTTTCCCCAGTGCCTAGCGGGAGAAGACATTGCTTGCGATGTTGATGAGGTCCTGTGGCCAGACCCCAACAGACGGCGGGATCCATGAGCCCACGTATGCACAATTGTCATGATTTTTTGTTTACAGTATAGTGTTTTTTCTATTACTGTATTATGGGTTTTTTTTTTGTTTTTTTTTGCTTTATCTGAATTCATGGTATGGTACTGCAATGTACAATATTGAGTAGGCCTATTTGCTTTTTTGGTTGTTTGCAAATGTGTCTCCTGAAAATATGCCTTCTGAATGAACAATGGAAATCAAAGACTGCAGTGCTTTATATAAAGTAGACTAGTGTGTTCCCCCTGCTCTGTAAGTGTTTGCATATGATGCAAGTATGTGTCATTTTGTCAACAGAGTTACATTTTGACAAAGGAATGTCAGGTTTTGATAGCAGAGTTTAGGTTTTGAGAGTAGAGTTTCAATTTGGTGCAGATGTGAATGGTATATTTCCCAGTGTTGTGTCATGTGTACTTGTGTTTAGGGTTTTGGCACAATGAGCAAAGTTTTGCAAAATGTGTTCAGGCAACGGGCAAAAACTGTAAGCTGCACTGTTTTACCCTCCTCATGTCGCATATCAAACTCATCCTTCTAATTTGGCAGTATATTTAAGCTTCAACCCCCCCAAGTCCCTCTGGCTTCAGTCACACAGACTTAGAGATTGGTTGGTAACCTCTGGAAGCCTCCAGTTGCTGGGGGAAAACCAGTATTCCTTGAGTAGTTGATGAGTGGTGGAGGTCCCTCGCTCTCACTGGGTAAAATTACTCGCAAAGAAGGGGTTGCAACAAAACACTAGAAGACTGATGAGGTCATCCATAGTTTACATGGAAGAGGTTGATTTGTCTGCAAACTCTGCAAACAATGACCAAAAGGATAGCTTCAGTCTTTCTGTGTTGTATTTTATATCTTTCATATATGTTTTATTGTCTATGACAACTTTCTCATGATGCTAGAATGGAAAAATTAAGCTAGAAGCATCGCCTCACTTTAGCACCGGATGCTTTGACCAACAGGTGTCTGGACACAGGGAACTGTAGCCATTGTATTAGTCAGTCTATTAGACCTAACCACTGTTCATTTGACTCACTAAATCTGACCTATCCACAGTCTTTGAAGTGTATTTAGAACCATTT